GAAATAAAAAATAATCAAGCAAAGGTTATTTTTTCGGAAAAAAAGGTTGGAGAAGAGATTGAAAATTTACTCTTAAATAATTATTCCTTTATTATAAAAAACAAAAAAAGTATTTGACAACCGCTAATTTTCCAAGAATTAGTGAGTCCAGAAGCCAAAGTTTATGCTAAAAACTTAAAACAAAAACTAACTAAAAATGAACTTAATATCAATTTTTTTACTAACGTCTTGCTCTAAAAACTTAATGAAGTAGATTTTAAGGAAATAAAGAAAAAAGTTAAAGAGAGCGTTTTAACAATGAAAAATGCCGGGTAATTACTATGAAATTAGAATAGTTTAGCTTTGCTGCTTTCGGTCAAAACAATATTGTTAATTTCTCTAAAAATATGAAATTAATAAATATGAGAGTAGAGATAAATAAAATGATGAAATATAATAATTATTACGGCGTTCCTCTGTTTTTTTCACCAGAGAGAGAGAGAGAGAGATGGAATTTGAAACAGAAGTAGAAAATTTTTACTTTTGTTATGAACGAAATCCAAGATATAAAAGCCCAGAGGCACAATTGACAAAACAACCGAGAAAGGTGAAATAGTTAAAAAGGAGGAAATATTATGACATTCACAAATACAGATTATATTAATTTAAAAATCCTACTATATTCCAGGTACGAAGCCGAAAATTTTATTAAAAAATTTGTTGACGCCCACAATCAAGACCCTAGCGAGTTTACTCCTGGCGTTAGAAAATTACTTGATAATTCCGACATTGTTAAGCAAGCTCACGGATTAAAAGTTTTTTATCAAAATAAGGTCATCCCGCATTATTATAATGAAATGGCAAAAGAGGCCGAAACTGAATTGGCTCAGAAATGACGAGCAGAAGGTAAGGAGCCTTATTATGTTCGAGCCAATGGAATTGAAGATTACAGTCAGGGATTTAAGCCTGAACTTGATAAGTTGATAGAAACCAAAAAAAAAATCCATAAAAAATACTGACGAGCCACTGCTGAACAGACTGGAATTGGACAAGCTTCTAACATTATTGCTGGCAAACAAAAAGCGGAAAGTGAAGTTCCTTCGGGCTTTGAAATGGATGAAGATGGCAGCAGTATCGTTAATTGTAAAAATTGTGGAAGCATAAATATTGCCAAAAAAAGAAAAAATGGAGACGCTTATTGTCAAAATTGTTGAGACGCGATTCCTAACTGTTC